CGCTTGGCATGCATATTTAGGTTTTTTTTCAAAATTTTCCTAAATATATTCGGCACTTATACTCTTCCTTTTCCTCTTGTACTATCCCCTCTTTCTTCTTTTTAAAAAAAAAATATCCAAATTTTAAAGAAGGTTTTTACTAATTTGTTTTTCCTTCAAATCACTTACAATTTTATTTATTCATACCTTTCACCTTATCCTCCATTACTTTTCCTTGAAATTTTTACTGAGTATCTTCCCCAAAATCGCTATGCGAGTAAAAGTGGAACAGCATTGAATAATTATAATAATCTGGGCCCCTATATGGTATAAAGTTCAGACAGGGAGGTTAATTACTTAAGTTTTAACCTTCCTGTCACCTCAAAATTTCAACACTTCATTCATTTTTTCACTTTTATATTTTTTCATATCTTTTTGACCACACATCCTTATCAGGATTTCCTCAAAATTAACTTAACTCCCCAAATTATTTAAATTCCCTTTATACCTTTTTATAGTTAGGCTGATTAAAAATTTATAATGTATTATTGTTAAATAAATTACTTTGGAATTTGGAATTTGGCATGCGAGATCTCGAGGTCCCGGGTTCGATACTATGAACATTTTTTATTTTTTTATTTCATAAATTTGTTGTTTCTTTGTTAAACAGTGTTCGGTTGGGTTGGGTTGGTTTGTTTTAGTTTTATCGTAAAATAAAATCTACTGTCTGTCCACTCTAAGTTGGCGGAGCTAAGGAATTTTGTAGTTTAGATATTAAAGAATTGTCGTACTGTGTGCTTTTAAAATAGATTTTATATTATAAATAATACTAGTACATATTATATACTAGTATTATTTATAATATAAAATCTGTTTTAAAAGCACACAGTACGACAATTCATTAATATCTAAACAACAAAATTCCTTAGTTCAGCCAACTTAGAGTGGACAGACAGTACAAGAAGTTGTCGACGTTTTTTTATTTCATAAATTTGTTGTTCCTTTGTTAAAGTGTTTTATTTTTATCGTAACATAAATTTGCTCATTTTAGTTGGGTTTTTTGCTCAATGGGGCGGGGTCGGTTGGGTTGTATTGTTGAGTTCGGGTTGGTTTGGGTTTATGACGTAATATATATGTAATTTGGCGGTGCAGAATAGTACACCGCAAGCGGTGCACTAGCAACAGCGTTTTTTAAATACTAAAAATACAAAACCAAACTGACATAAGCTACCAACTTAATAAAAAACACGAGCCCAAATAAAAAATCATCTGTTCATCATATAAATGGTGTCCACTTAAGAGTGCTCTAACTTTAAAATGAAATAAAACAAACTACACTTAAGATATTAGGAAAAAAAAAAATTATTTAAAAGAACATCCTATGGCATTAATTATGAAAATTAACATCTTTCAAATGCCCCCGCGGCTGCGCTCCACAGCGCGCATTCTGCAGGTCAAATTTTCTATCACTTTTTCGCACATTTCGGGTTCGATTTCATTTATTACACGAGTAATGTTGGCCTTCAGTGCTTCAATTGTTCGTGGCTTATTCACGTACACAAGGGACTTTACGTAACCCCACAAAAAAGTCCAGCGGCGTTAGATCGCATGATCTGGTTGGCCACTGGATATCGCCGCCGCCTGAAATGAGTCATTCAAATGACGCCGTTGAAACGTTTGGTTGGTAAATTTGAATAATTTGAATGCGTTGAGCAACCGTGTAACGCTCCATTATCAAATGTCATCATATGCCAACAAAACTTCAAAATATTTGACAGCTGTGTCTGTACATAGCCGCCTATCAAACATCGAGCGTACCTAATTGGACACCCTTTACATGGAGCCTACACAAGGAGTCCGAACTGCATGTAAACAAGAATCTTCCTAACCCTTTCACTACTGGCGTACGTAATCACGTACACTATTTTTGACAAGGGAAATTTAAACGAAATTTTAAGTTTTTTATCGAATTATTTATTTTTACATGTTCGGGGACATTTATTTTATCTTCCAGTGGTAGTAGGTGGTGCCATCTAATAATAACGTTTTGAAATAAACCTTTAAAGTGTCATGGCTTCTAGCAGCGGTAGATCGAACGGTAAGTGTTCCTTTATTTTCACGTATTTTTTAATGTTTTGGCTATAAATTAAATTGCAAGTTGGATATTTCATTAAAAAAGAGGTGTAACAACTGCTTTTATACATTAGTTTGACTCGAGATGATAATATAGGCTCATACCACTAATTTAAAATTCCCGTACGCAATCGCGTACAAATGTATTCAAGGGTCACAAAGTAAATTCAAATGTTGAGACAGTATTTGTTTTTATATAATATGTTCCTATGGCATTACAAATACTTTTTATGCGTTGCTTGTCTATCATAATTATTAAAAAACACGACATTTTTCAGACTCGCGAAAATTTGTAACTCGGGGAGACCTTAGAGTTGAAAGATCACTTGTCGACCTTTTTGAAAAGCTTGAAAATGGTAATTTTTCTGATTTGTCGGACCTCTCCGACAATGATGAAGATGAAACCAATGATGAAGTACTTTAAAAAAATGCTGAGGCAGCTGAGAATAGTTTACTAAACCTTCTCGTTCCGATTGAAAACTACGAAATTGACCAAGATAATTATGACGATGATATGGAAAGAATAGGAAACGAAGAGATGGAAGAAGAAACCTTGGCAGAACCCAATGTGGCAGAAACCAATGAAACAGAAACCAGTGAATTCGCTTTTGGAAGTATTAGCAGTGACTTTCAAACGACCCACAAGAAAGACATGAAATGGACAAAACGAAATATACTAGAACCTCTAGATCAATTGTATGAAGCAGAAAGGAAAGAAGATGATAGAGAAGAAAATGAAATCGGACAACCACTTGAATACTTCAGACGTTATATAACTGCTAAAGTAATTGATGAAATGGTACATAAAACGAATTTGATGCGCAACAGAACTCCAATTCATCGACATTCGTCCCGACCAACAAAAACGAAATTGAATCCTTATTGGGATTACACATTGTGATGGGATGCCTTAGGTTTCCCAGAATTTCTATGTATTGGGAAAAAGTCCTAGGTATAACTGTATTTTTAGAAACCATGCCCCGCAACAGATTTTATAAACTGCGAACCAATCTTCACTTGGTTAACAATTTGGATAGAGATCCAGACAACAAGGACAGGTTCTTCAAAGTTAGACCAATTTTTGACGCAGTTCGAAAACGTTGTCTTGAACTTGAAAGAGAACAAAAACTTTGCGTTGATGAACAAATGTGTCCTTTCAAAGGCCAGTTGAATGTGAAACAGTACATAAAAGGCAAGCCAACTCCCTGGGGTATAAAGTTGTTTGTACTCTGTGGTGAAAGTGGAATTATTTATGATTTTATAATATATCAATGAAAGACCACTGAGATTGAAAATGACTTACAAAACAGATTTGGACAAGGTTCGGCCATTGTGATCCATTTGAGTCGATCGATCACTAATCCATATAGTGAAATATATTTTGATAATTTCTTTACATCGTACATACAACATACTTGAAGTTAAGAAAAATTAAAGCTTGTGGAACAGTCCGAATGAACCGATTCAGTAATCCTCCGTTCAGTTCGGACAAAAACCTTATGAAGCAGCAAAGAGGGCACTCAGAGGAGTTGTTCAGCAAAGACCATGACGTAGTGCTTACTAAATGGGTCGATAACAAGGTGGTGAATATGGCATCAAACTTTGTTGGAAAAGGAGTTACTGATACAGCCAAAAGATGGGACAAACAGACCAAAGAATATGTGGAAGTTACTAGGCCGGAGGTCATCACCAAATATAATGCTTCAATGGGAGGAGTTGACAAACTTGATTTCCTTATAAAAATTTATAGAATCTTCATAAGATCTCGAAAATGGACACTCCGTTTGATCTTCCATGCTATTGATATGGCCATCTGTAACAGTTGCTTGAATATAAGCGTAACTGTAAAAGAATGAATATCAACAAAAAAGTCCAACTTGATCTATTGCATTTCAAACTGGAAATTGGTAATCAAGCAAGGAAAGCCGAGCGACAAAAGAAAACTAAGACGACCAACTTTGGAAGAGCTAAGAGAACACCAGGAGAAAAAGACTAGATACGAATCACGACCTTCATCAGGAATTAGACTAGATGCAACAGACCATTTGCCAGTTCATACTGGTCAAAAAGAAGCCGGCAGGTGCAAGAAAGATGGCTGTAAGACAGGAAGGTCTCATTTCATATGCAACAAATGCCAAGTTCATCTTTGTTTGGGAAAGCAACGAAATTATTTCTTTAAATTTCATACCAAGAAATAAACATTGAGACAATTCTCTTTTTCTAATATATATGAACTTTATTTTGTTAAAATATGTGCAAAACCAAAGTTTTTCTTCATGTACACTTTTTTTATTTGATTTTGATTTTTTTCTTTATTTGACGTAAAAATATACCCGTTGAGTAATTTTGACCGTAATCACGTACACTTTATATTTTATTTAAATAAAAAAAATAAAAAATTGAAAAAAATTTTTTTACTTTATTTTGCCTATAAGAAACGCAAATTTACCACTACATATTTTTTTTATAATTAATTGAGGGGCTGGTAGTGAAAGGGCTAAGGAAAGTAGGCCCTGGTGTCCCGTTTATTCTGAAACAATTGACTAATTTGTACCGAAACGCTACCAAAAGAGCAGACGTCAGGACGCATCAACAATCACCGCCGCTGGTGGTGAAAAAAAGACTTAATTTGTGCAATTTAGAGGGCAGGTTTTGTCAATTTTCCCTATTAAGTTCGGGCTCCTTGTGTAGGCTCCATGATCATATAGTTCAGTGGTAGGAACAAACCACATATTTAGAGAACACATATTTAGATATGTGGAACAAACCTATGGCGTATGTCGATTATTACTGACACGTTTTGACCTACTTAACGCAATTAGGTAGTTTAAATGTCTAAAACAGAAATGCTTCCAAAATGACAGTTTTAAGAAAATAACCTAAAATGTGTATTCTTTCTGTAAACTGAAAATAATTTAAAATTATAAAATACATATATATATATGCTGAATTCAGTAATAAAAAAATAATAATTAGTATTGGTCATTAAGGGCCTAATGGCTCAAGACCAATACAAGAGTATAAAGTGATATCTACCTATAATGATTGTATAATTTTCCTCTTATTGTTACTTTTATTGTAAAATTTAATTAATCATGGGTGATCCGTACTATAATTATTACATGAACTGCCAGGGAAATTATAACTATACTCCACAACAACAACAGCAATGGAAGGAATGGATGTCGCAAAATTATGCTTATTACAATCAGTATCACTATAATCCTCAATATCCACCACCAGTTGGTAATTTTAATGTTCCACCTCCAAATATGATGCCACCTATGCCATATGCAAATGTTTACAATCCCCCAAGACCAACTACAGATCCAAGTAAAAATGTACATAGCGATTATTCCAAAGAGCTTGAGTCTTATAAATCAAATAGGCAGATGGACAGTATTTTAAGTAGCAGAATTACCAGGGAAACAGCTAAATCTCCTTTAAATAATAGTCGGTCAGACAATTTTAGAGATTATAAACACAGATATGATAGACAAAGCCAAAGTAGATCTAGATATGATGATAGAAAGCATAGGTCAAGGAGATCTCCAGAACCAAGAGATAGACATAGTTCCAAAGATAGGCACAAACCATTTAGAAGTAGACCAAATTCAAAGGAAAGGTCTGAAAGGGATATTCTTTTAACTAAATGGCGTAAAAACTACTGTGCCACAAGTGAAGAAATGTCTTCCAAAATGGAGGAACTTGCAAAAGAAAACAATGAGGAAGACGTTACTGAAGAGAAAAGTATGTGGACAAGAACAACACCTGCAGATTTGTATTATGTGAGAGATGAGGAAAATGCCAAATTAATTAAGGGTTCAGAAAAACAATTACAATTGTGTGATGAATTTAAGGCTAATTTAATTGATAGAAAAAAAAATTCTAATAAAGATAAGCCCAAATATGTGCCACCACCAAGGAAAAATAGGGCTAGGCTATGTAAACATAAAAGTATAATACTTATTGTTATACATGTAAATAATGATAAATACATTATTTTTTCTAGGTGAAGTTCACAGTTCTTCTTCTGGAAGTTCATCAGAGGATAATTTAACCGATGAAGAAGATTATACCATGGAGGAACTTCAAAGAAAGCAACAACATCCTGATAGATTACATCCAGAAATGTGGTATGAATAGTTTAAAAAAACCATTTTTAACATAATTAACAATAATGACCCTGAAAGCAAAAAATACTTTTTCATTAATTTTTTTGGATGTAAATAATGTTGCATTAAAATACTGAGAGTATTTTTTTGTAAAAAATTCTTAGCTTTTTAATGAAAACATTTGTCCTTTATTATTATTATTATTATAACAAAATTATTATTATTATTATTATTATTATTATAACAAAAGACACTAAAAAATTCAATTAAAGTGAAAAATTAGTTTTTGCGACAATTCTCATATCAAAATTTTGTGTTAAAAAAAATTAGGCTTTCAAAAAAAATATTAATTTGATAATCAAATTAATATTTTTTTTGAAAGCCTAATTTTTTTTAACACAAAATATGTAATTTCCACGATGAGGTTATTTTTTTTTAAATACAATTAAATAATAAAGTAAACGCTGTGGCTAGAGGCACGCTAACTTGCCGCGATTCGAAATGTTAAAGACACGTTATTTTTACAATTAATTGTATTTAAAAAAAATTACATATTTTATTTACAAAATTCTCAGCTTTCAGAAAAAATATTAAATTTTAAATAAAAATTGCGGGTCTTCTGTTACTTATAATAAAGAATGAATATTTTTATAAGACATTTACATAAAAAAATTAACGAAAAACTTTAAAAAATATCCTCAAAATTCGAAAAATCATTACTACCAAAGTACTTAATTTTAAGAGCTCAAATCTTCAGAGTCATTATTTTGATGTAGAAAATGACTCCACAAAATTAAAAAATATATTTATTATTTGGTGGAATGACTTATATTATATACATACTATTAGATAACAACTAACAAGAAATAATGTCCTTGTCAGGTACAATGATCCTGGTGAAATGAATGATGGTCCTTTGTGTCGTTGTTCTGTAAAATCCCGAAAATCAGGAATAAGGCATGGAATATATCCTGGTGAAAAACGTCAAATTAAATGCGACGTTAACTCAAATAACGCTACCAAACTCTACCATTACAGGATAACCATATCGCCTCCAACAAACTTTCTAACCAAAACTCCCACCATTATACAACATGATGAACATGAATTTATATTTGAAGGATTTTCGATGTTTTCACATTTCCCGTTGGTCAAGTTGCCCACTTGCAAGGTCATAAGGTTTAATATTGAATATACGATTTTTTATATTGAAGAAAAAATACCAGACAACTTTACTATAAGAGAACTAGACTTATTTTGTAAGTTACATTTATTTCAGCATTCCAGAGTAAATTTCATTCTTTAATATTTAAAAACATTATTATTTATTTAGCTTTTTATTATTATTTATTCCACAATCCACACAACAATCTTTGTTCTATCTCGTTTCGCGCATACTAAAAATTACGCAACCCACTGCATGGACTCTAACGGCGTGCAGTTTTATCATGTTTTTTATAGGCTTTACAATTCTTGTGCTTTGGGTTTGTGCTCTTTATACAGAAAAAAATCGTGTTTCTTACAGAGGCACTTTTAAGCCTGAAATAAGGCCTTAAGTAAACCTTAAGGAAATTTACCATACACACAAATTATCTTAAAATTGACATTTTACAGTTTAATGACAGCCCTGATAAAATAATTATTTGTTAAATAATATTAATAAATTTGTGGTTTATGGTAAATTAATCTTAAAATTGACATTTTGAAAGTTTGATACCCTGATAGAATAAGGTTTATTTTTTACAAAAGAAAATTAAAATGGTTGCACCTAGCACTTTAAGGCATCTTGTAAGGCTTACAAGTGCCTCTATAAGAGACACAACGTTAAAAACAATTATTAATCTGTTTAAATAGCACAAACCCGAAGCAGAGTGTTTGCATTAAAAAAATTAAATTCATTCTTATTATTATGTACAAAAACTAAGCATTCGAAAATAAACAAGGAAGGAAACGTTAATATATTTTTTAATCTAAAGTATTCCCTGCAACTGTCCCTTCTTTTTAAACCTAGGATTATTCTTAGGGCGTATTTTTGTAATATAAAAATTTTAGAAGACGTTACTGAAGAGCCCCAGTTAATTACACCATATCTGAGGCGACTTTCGAAATAACTAAAATAAACTAATTGTAACGTCTCTACGCTAATTTCTTTAAGTTTTAAAATTCTTTGACAGTAGCAGGCAGATCTCAATGAGTTGCATAATGTATTAACGTTGTCCTTCCAGTTCAAATCAGAATCTATAATTAAACCTAAAGTTCGTACTTTATTTTCATAATTGATGTTGAAATTTAAAGTAGGATGCTCAGTGTTGATTTGTCTTTGATGAAAATAGACACATTTTGTCTTTTCAAAATTAATTTCAATTTTGTTAAGAGTGCACCAAGTTTGTATTTGTGCAGCTTCCATCTCCTGGCTTGGGGCGGCATCGATCTAACGTTTTTTTGTGTTCGCGTCGGTGGATCGCAAGCCAGACATGCGCCAGGCAGGTGGAATCGAAAGTCAGCTGATATTTTTGCGACCGGCATATATTTTTGTGACTCATATATTTTAATGACGGTCAGTTATTTTTTTGACAGTCAGAAATTTCAATTGTAAAAAATTAATGACAGGGGTGTCATAAAAATAAATGACATGAAAGTCATTTTCATTATGACCGTGACATGACATTGTTATAAAAATTTGCTTACATCCCTAACTACTATATTAAAATACTTTATTAGGCTAGTTTACTTGATAAGCGCATAATAGGATAATTTTTACGTAAAAAAAACAAAATTATTTTTTTTAATTAGGCCGCTTTTGCAGTATACGCCTCAAATTTAAAATATATTACATTTTCCATTATTAAAAATTTAGACTGAGACTAAAAAAATTTATTTCTTATTATTTAGTAGTTTAAACATAAGAAACCAATAACAATGTAAAAAAAACTCTAAAAAGTCTATTATAGGTAGTTACTTTTTTTAAAGACCAAATCATTCTTCTTCTTCTTCCTTGGTGGCCAAAGGCCTTAATGGTCTCGGTTTCAATGTACCACTTTGACCAGAAGCAAGTTTTAACGTCCATGCATTTCACGAAGCCATCCACCATAGACACGTGAATTTTCCAATCTTGGAACATCCACTAAATCTTTTGTACAAATCACAAAATACCTCGTTAAAAGGTATGCTGGTATGTTAAATAACCTGCGATATTGTTAAAAAATACAGGTATATTTCTATACCCGGAATCCAATTTTGTCCATCCTGGGTCAAAGTCAGCTATGTTTCATACTTTTTCATCGAGCGATAGCCCAGAGCTGAGAATGCGATGCACTACTCACGAAAGACGAAATCGAACTTAGACCAAATCAAAACAAACCTGACGCCTGATCGCAGTAGGTGGAGAGCGCGGCCCTTATTGGTCAATTCGGTGGTGATGGCGCGTGACTGTATTTATATTTACTAAATGTCATTTAGTGGCTAAATTGTCTATGAACTAGATTGGAAAAATAAAAAAATAGACAAATGAAACCAATCTTGAAAAAAAACACAAAATGTGCAAAAAACCATTAAAAAAACAGTGAAAAATACAAAAAAATGTATCGTTTTTTTTCAAGTCACATCTCTAGATACAACAGACCTTGTTGTGTGGATTGTGATTTATTCCACAACTTAGCATTGCTTCAATCCATAGAAATCTATGGCTTCAATGGTTGCCTACTTAAGAAATTGAATATTGTTTATTACCCATCTGCCTAGATATCTATGCCCATCTGTAACGACTTCGAACAGCACACAGGAAATGCCGATTTTTCCGACTGCTTTAAAAATGTGACTTCTGGGGTGCTGATTAAGCCTTAATTAAGTTTCTTTAATCCCTAAATAAATATTTACATTAATTTTTAGATGAATATCTTTTTGTTGAGCTTCTGGAGTTGGTAGACTTGGATTTCAAAGCGTACAATGACAAAGAAGGTTGCGCCCAATTTCATTTCATGCCAAGGTTTGTTAGAGAACTGCCTGACAATGGAAAAGAAATTTTATCTATGAATGAAGTGCTTATTTATTTATTGAACAGTTCAGGTCCACTTATTGAGAAAAACAAACTGGTGGATATGGTCAACATGAGCCAGTTTGAGTGGCAGAGTTATGCGGATGAGATAAAAGTAATCCCATTACACTTTACTAGTTGGTTTTAGTTCTTTTTTGTTAGTTTTAAATATTATATTATATTATATTATATATGGGTATATACCTACCCATAGTTGATAAAAAAAATACTACACATTTTTTGAAATTTAGGGGATGATTGTAACATATCCTGGTAAAAAACCATGTTCTGTCAGAGTTGACCAATTGGACAGAAATTTAGATAAACAAGGGATGGGAGATTATAAATTTCCCGAAATTGTCCATTTTGGTATACGACCTCCTCAACTAAGCTACGCTGGAAACCCAGAGTATGTAAAAAAATATTTTAAATTTTAATTCTTTTATATACTTAAAAAGTTATTATATTTAGACATTTAATCTGAAAAAAACATTGTCACTCAAATGGTCACGAAATCATCCAAGAATGGTTTGGTCATTTTAGTAAAAATGTTAAATGTCAGCAGTACAATTAAATGTATTAATGAACTAAATAAACTGTTAATACATTTTATTTAAATACTGGGTAACTCGGGGGAACTCATACTCGTATAACAATATTTCTTAAATCTAAATGAAAGTGATTTGATAAAAATCATTTTAGCTATCAAAAAGCATGGCGCGATTATGTGAAATTTCGCCACTTGATAGCCAACATGCCCAAACCGTCGTTTGAAGACAAGCGAAAACTGGAGGCGAAAGAAAACAAACTGCAAGAGATGCGCACGCAGGGTAAAATGAAACGCGACGTGACCGTGGACATTTCGTCCGAAGGTTTTTATCGAACCGGTATTATGTGCGACATAATCCAGCATGCAATGCTAATACCTGTGCTGGTTTGTCATTTAAGGTTTCATCATGCTTTGGATATTTTGGAAGAGTCGATTTGCTATAAGTTTGCCAATAGAAGTTTGTTGCAACTGGCCTTGACTCATCCTTCGTACCGAGAGAATTTCGGCACCAACCCCGATCATGCCCGAAACAGTCTTACCAACTGTGGTATAAGGCAACCGGAGTACGGGGATAGAAGAATTCATTATTTAAATACCAGAAAAAGAGGTGTGTAAACATTTACTTTATTACTTAATATTGTGGATAGAACCTTAAGGTCTAAGCATGACAGAGTAGTTCTAGACAATTTTAAAATTATATTTAGGATTTTTTTTTAATTACTGGAAAACCGGAAAAGTTATTGTACTATTTGTAATATTTGAGAAACTCTCTTATAAAGATTAAATGTTATAATGATAACATGTTTTCTCAATTGTTTAAAAATAGTATAGTAACTTTTCTTTACTAACAATTATTTGCTTTTTGAACAGATCAGTGTGACCTAACATTATTACATTCATCTTCCAAATCTTCTTCAATTTTTATTTCACATGGTATTAATTTTAAAATTAAAAATACAAATAATTCCAATAAGCATGTTTCAGCCATTGGTTTTTTTTTAAATAAACAACTAAATTAGTTGAACTAATTCCTATTACATAATTTTAGGTATAAACACCCTAATAAACATTATGTCTAGATTTGGTAAACAGTATGAAACCGAATCTAATATCGGTCACAATGAACGTTTGGAATTTTTGGGCGATGCAGTCGTGGAATTTTTATCGTCGATTCATTTGTTCTACACGTTTCCTAGCTTGGAAGAAGGCGGTTTGGCAACATACAGAGCGGCCATAGTGCAAAATCAGCATCTAGCAGTCCTTGCTAAAAAGTTGAGACTTGATCAGTTTATGCTCTATGCTCACGGATCCGATTTGTGTCACGATTTGGAATTGAGGCACGCGATGGCCAATTGTTTTGAGGCTTTTATGGGAGCTTTGTTTCTAGATGGGGGAATAGAGGCAAGTAAATTTTTAAAATTTATAATGAATACAGTATTTCATATCAGCGGAATGCTTTCGAAAAAACGCCGAATTATGATCGTTCTTAAACATCCCTAGCGGTTTTGAGATCACGTTAAAGTTGCAGTGAATAAATAGTCATTTCACGGTCGATTCGAAGTTCTTTTCGCGGTTGTATTCAATTCACGGTGAATGATTACTAAATAAATATTGACTAAGCGGTTGCCCTTGTAGAAAATAATGTTTACCGAGACTGTTACCGTTGGAAATTTGTCTAATAATTTGTTATATGCTTGACATTCGTTAAATGCATACTTTTTAGTAAGAAATACGTAGTTAAAACGTTACATAAATCCCACGTATTTCCAACATTTTATAATACGTAAATCCCATGGTCCTAGCAAGTTTTTCAAGCGGTGCGAGATCTCATTGCATCGCCTCCAATGTCGAATCGCTTATTCGTAATTAAGCTGTTAAAAGGGACTAGAGATAATATAAATTTTTGCATTTAACTAATATTACATACAGGGTGTTTTTTAAAAACGAGCAATGCTCTATAAGTCTGTACATAAAATATATATATATAAAAAAATTAAAATTATTTCTAGGATAAGTGGGGGGAATCAATATGATCACAAAGAGCCTAGAGCCTCAATGCTTAATGAATGTTTTTTTGTGGTCATACTGATTTCCCCCACGTATCGTACAACCAGTTTTAAGAAATTTTTTATATCTATTTTAGTTCCAGACTTATAGAGCATTTCTCGTTTTTAAATAAAAATCCTTTATGTAAAAGTTTGTGTTTAGACAATGTTTACTGTTTCACGCCAAAACGTCTGAACGGCTTGGGATAAAATTGGTAGAGAGGTAGATTATGATCTTGAATAACATTTAAGCTTCATATCTACTTTTTATTCCTGAGATTTAAATACCTATACGTATATTTGAAACGAACAAGTGGTTTCCCTGAGATTTAAATACAAGAAAAATGGCGAGCAGAATTATACACTTTTGAAATGTCACATCACGAGACCCCTAAAAGTTTCGGGGTCTTTTGTATAATATTACTTGACTAAAATTTACTAAAAAGCTGATTTTTAATTTGTCCATCCATCGCCGCATTTTCGGCGCCTTCCTATGACGGCGCCCGGTGCGGTGGCACCGTTCGCACCACCCTAGAAACGCCGCTTATCCCACGTGTTTTATAACATTATATAATGGTATAAACCGGGATATTTCAACATAAAATTATACATTTTCCCAACGTGAAAAAAAAGTTGTTTCTTAGAATCTACGTAAAACTTCTAGGAGGGTGTTTTTTGGTTGTAATGTTGTGGCTTGGGCGTCGTTGTATAGTTCTCTAACGTCGTTTTACTGTGAAAAACTAGGCTTTCTACCGTAAATTTTTCGCGATGAGATGTTATTTTATAAATTTAACTATCTATTAATTTGCGGTTTCAGTGTATGATAAGGGTGCTGGACCATGAAACTACGATGTAATAAACCAATACCTATTCACTAAGTGTCAATAAATCAAGAAGAATTCAAACTATAATAAGACCCAATTGTCTCCGTATTTCGCTAGGAACTATATGTTAATCACCAAGCCTGTTTACACATATATTAATTAAAACCAATCGAGTTTTTGTCAATAAGCCTGCCTTTTTATACTAAATAAATATGTTTTAAATTTATAGGTTGTTGACAAGGTATTTTCTGAAACCCTTTTTAAAGAATGTTCAGACATTCTTGAGGTATGGGTGAACTACCCGCCTCATCCATTGCAACAACAGGAGCCCACAGGAGACCGACAGTGGATTCCAAAGTTTGAACTGCTCCAAAAATTGACTAAATTCGAGGAATCGATAGGAGTTGAGTTTAACCACATTAGACTTTTGGCCAGAGCGTTTACAGATAGAAGCATTGGCTACACTAATTTAACCATGGGATCAAATCAAAGACTGGAGTTTTTAGGAGATACTGTTTTACAGTTAATTGCCTCGGATTATTTGTATAAATTCTTTCCTGAACATCATGAAGGACACTTATCAGTAAGATTTTCTAAAATTTATTTTTATTAAAACAATAATTATGTCTTTATAGCTTCTACGAAGTTCTTTGGTTAATAATAGAACGCAAGCTGTGGTTTGTGATGATTTAGGAATGACTAATTATGCAGTATACCATAATCCAAAACTCGAATTAAAAACCAAGGATAGGGCTGATTTACTTGAAGCTTTTATTGGTGCATTATATGTGGATCAAGTAACTTTATTTTTACTAATCAATGTGAAAAAAATATTGCAATGCATTTTTAGGATCTTGAATCTTGTGAGGTGTTTTGCCAAGTTACACTTTTTCCTAGGTTGCAAGATTTTATTGTAAAACAAGATTGGAATGACCCTAAGTCAAAGTTACAACAGTGTTGTCTTACTTTAAGAACAATGGATGGAGGAGAACCAGATATTCCCGTTTATAAGTATGTTTTATTTTACATTATTGTATATATTTAAAATGTATAATATTTGAAAACATGAAAAAACATCGAATTGAATTAAACTAGAGAAAGATATAAACTTGATTTGCAATTACAGGCATTGAATTATAAATGCTAAGTGCGGATCACTCGGCGACCTTTTTGAATACCTGGTGATATTTATAGGGAGATTTTAGGGAATTCTCTACGAGGGGTAAACCACTTTAAAATCTAAGACACCAACGTTCAATGTTAGTGGACGTTGTGTTGTGATTTGTTTCCTTATCAGTCGTTATCAATAAGGAAAACTTGCTTAATCAGTGCTTAGCGACGCTTTGCGCATGACTACCCTTGTTATTGTTATCCTTAGCCGTTAATTCGTAAGCGATTTTTAATTTTAAAAAATCAGTGGTTTACCCCTCGATTCTCTGTCATATATCAGAATAGTTAACTAGTTAAAAGTTATTACTTGATGTAAATACTTAAACTACAATTTTAGTTCAATTTATCAGTATTATTCTGCAGCGTACGCTAAGCATAGTGGTCCTATCTACAATATTGTAAATAGGAACTCTATATATTGTCAATATTAAGTAATGAAGGACAAACAATTATTTTTATTGTTTTTATCACCCCCAAATGGAAAGAATGTGGTATAGAAAATTGTACAAATTTTACACTGTAAAAGGGAAAAGCACTGAATCATCTGGATCATATGGGGGGAAGCGCTTTGCGCAACACTGGCCATTACTGCAGTAAAAGTAGTTAGTTTATACATTGTTTATTTTTGTTATCAGTTATCAGTATATTTAATCACTACTTCTACTCTTCTACTCTAAATATGTGGGTCAGTGATAGATATCTAACTTCAATTCTGAGTCATGTGCCAGGAAAAATTAAAAATGGTGGCATGTGGTGGATGCGCGAACGAAAACCCTGGGGTTATTTTAAGTATAAAAAATACAGCATTTTTTTAACGATCAAAAAATTAAATTTAAAAGTTTTTATTTTTTATCAGAAACTGTCAGAAAATACCTATGTCAAACATGTCGTCCCAACTATCACATAATGGCTTATCTCGTATTTTACAATTTTACAGGAGACCATTTTAAATTTTTTAAACGTTGTTAGATAATTGGTCCTAAAGTTTTTAGCTGGTACAATTTAAGTACCGCCGCACACTGGCCAATTTTGATGGAAAAACGAACATAATTGATTTGTTTAGATATGGTTCAAATTTTTAGAATATATTGCCTATAGTCCAGTCAACTTTTTACCAAATCTTGGAAAGATTCCTTTACAAACCAAAAAGATAGCCACTTTAAAAACGAAAAATTTGCATATTTTAATAGACCATTTTATTTGCAATAAAAATGACAATTTTATTGGCGTGTTATTTAATTAATAGTTGGCAAAATATGAAAAATCGTCTCTTGGAGAATCGTTGGGTATAATTTTCACCTCAAAAAATTTAGCAATGGGGATATAACAGCCCTTATTTAATGTCATGTCATTTTCAGTCGAATTTTAAATTAAAGGCAATTTTGACATTTAGGAAGACTGAAGAAGAGCCGTTGAGATTTATGTCAAAATGTTCCCTAAACCATGTAATTTTTAATGACATGTTCTGTTCTTGCGGAAATTTCCAGGTACAGAGGGACATTAAGGTGACGCGCGCGGGTTAAAGATAAAACTGTTTTTGGTGGATTTTCAACTTTAAGAATATTTTATGACTATAAAACAAAATAATACAGGTGGATTATTATTTTAAATCATTATTTTGTTTACATGGTGCTTCCGTAATTGGCGAAGCAATATTTCCAACAGGTGAGCTGTCCGAGAAAGCACAAAAAGCAAAAAATAAAGACATCAGAAAATTTAGATATGGGTTTACAGACAAATTAAGTATATAATTAGTTCCAATCCATATTTGAGCAGTTTAGCCATTAGAAGAAGAAAAAAAGTTAAACAGTTCTGATATTCGGCCTTTCATGTTAATCGATGAAAATGATAACGAGAATGGGCACAATGAGAAAGTCATCAGACATATGAACATGATGAGACATAAGAAAATAATGAGACAGATGAAAATAATAAGTCAGGTGGAGATGATGAGACAGGTGCAAATGAACCAAGTAAAATCAGAAAAATTGTATATTTAAATAAATGTTTTATTAGTTATTAGTTTTAAGTTAAAATACACAATGCACCAACAAGAATTTTCACGTTAATGGGTTTTAACCCCTATAAAGGGTTGTTGGAAATAATAAAATATATTTTCCACTGTATTCTATGAATATTTTCATAGAAATTCGGTAACATATAACTTTTCACCCGTGTGAAGAGTTACCTTTTTAGGTAAGTATACAAAATTTCATACAAATTGGTCAATATAAAATTCTTAACCCCCGGGTTGAAAATAAGTTATTTATAAAATATATGTACCACTGTATTCTACGGCTCTTTTTATTTAAATCAGTTATGGAAAAAGTTCGTTTTCACACGTAAATAGCCCACTGTGCACCGCCTTTTATAAGTACGTAGATGTACCTACCCAATTTATGGTATTAAAAATGACATTTATTAATTTTTGAAATTATGTGACAATAAAAACACACGTGTAGTATGCATACTCAGTTTTTTTAAACACATTTTTTGGTACAAATTAATAAATAATAAAAGTGGATAAAAGTAGGAACTTCACTGTAATATTAATATTATTATTATAAATAATCCTAAAACAATAAATTAAGCAACAATTTCAAAATAACAAATAAACTTAGGAAAAACTTAAGAGAAGGAACAAATAAATTATAAATAACACTCTTTTATTTCTGCTATTTATTTCATTTACTGCCTCCAAAAAATTTCCAATCGGTGCAGTTAGTACCTCTGCACCCCCTAAATCTGCCTTATTTCCATAACAATCGTTTTTGGATGTGTAACAAACAGAAAAGTTTTTTAAAAAATAATTAATTGATAACACTAGTTTACAAAATCGAAAAAAAATTCTACCCCATGTATTTTGACCCACTAAATACGAAAATCACACACAATTTTTTTTTATGGAAGCGTTTTTGAAATATGAATTTTCAATTGTTTTTTTTTCATTTTTGGAGGTGTTTGGACGTTTTTGAGTATAGCTTGAAATCTAATTGATCGATTTGGTCCAGCAAGCCCTTTAATTGAAGGTATTTGAGCCCTCTAAAACTTTCTTTTACAAACTTTTTATATTGGATAAGTATTTTGACTATAGCGATTTTAATAACTTAAAAAAATCGTTTTTATGGCAAAAAAATGAGGTCGAAAATTTACATATCGTCCTGGGAAAGGTTTCAATCAAACAGATAACTCCAGTTTTTCGTGAAGCTGACATTTTTACAAAAAAAACAAGCTAATGTTGATAAAAATACATGGAAAAATGGCGAAGTTATGAATTTTTTAGTGGAAGAACAAAGTTCAGCTTTTTGACGATTTTTATTTTATTTTATTTTATTTTGTAATATATTTAGTAGGGTGAGCCAAAAAAACTAACCTATCGGATTTATGGGTTAAAATGAACCTACATACCGAGCAAAAAATTTCCCTGCAAGGCAAAATTTTTTGCTCAATTTTAAAAGGTGTCGGTGAGCATTCTAAGTTTTCCATTGAAATAACACGTAAAAAAATCTTTTTTCATTAAAAAGACTATAACTTTTGAACCGTTTGAGATAAAATTTTTTACGTCGCGGATTCTTGTAGAGCATAAAATTTCCCAAAGAATCTATACCAGGATTATTTTTTTTAATTCAAAAATTCGTATGTTTGAAAGCTTTGAAAAGTCTAAAAAATCACTAAAACTGCAGTTTTCAAAAATTCGTATTTTTGAAAGCTTTGAAAAGTGTAAAAAATCACTAAAACTGCAGTTTTAGTGATTTTTTAGACTTTTCAAAGCTTTCAAACATACGAATTTTTGAATTAAAAAAAATAATCCTGGTATAGATTCTTTGGGAAATTTTATGCTCTACAAGAATCCGCGACGTAAAAAATTTTATCTCAAACGGTTCAAAAGTTATAGTCTTTTTAATGAAAAAAGATTTTTTTACGTGTTATTTCAATGGAAAACTTAGAATGCTCACCGACACCTTTTAAAATTGAGCAAAAAATTTTGCCTTGCAGGGAAATTTTTTGCTCGGTATGTAGGTTCATTTTAACCCATAAATCCGATAGGTTAGTTTTTTTGGCTCACCCTAATATTTAGTCTTTAATGAACACCTAAATACAGTGCATGATTGAAATTTTTTGAGTTTTTTACCTACTATTTCACCGAAAACATTATTCAAAATTTAAATTTTACATGACCCCGCAAACGTGAATTCTTTTGTTTCTCGTGTTGGCATAGTGACATTTTACTGATATTTTTTGATATTTCAACAAGGTATTTTTATCATGTTTTTATTTAGTAAAAAGTGTAAAATGAGTAAAAGAAATAAATAACCCGCACAATCTGGGCGACGTAAGTGATGAGCACGGATAACGTTTTCACCAGCAAATGAAGGCTATGGAGCGGCGGTATCACGGCTTCTGGGATGCAGCCATGATAGGTGATTACATTTGGTCCCTCATACGAGAAACGGAATGCGAAAGCAATAAAAAACAAAGAAGAAGACAGAATTTTTTAACCTATGCTTATTACAACAAAATAAAACTTTTAATTTCAAAATGTTTAAAATAAAAATCAATGTTCAATAATAAATTATATAATTCAATAAAATGAAGAAAAAACGTAAAAATTCTCGAAAAACTGGATCAAACTGGAATTATATTTTCGATTTCTATCTTTCCAAGAAAGATATGTAAATTTTCGACCTCGATTTTTGTAAAAAAGGACTTTTTCAGCTTTATAAAATCGCCAGTATCGAACTACTGAGCCGATCCAAAAACTATACATGAGAAAGTTGTAGAGGGCTCAATTACCTTTGATTTAAATGCTTGTTTGGTAAAAATCGATCAATTAGAACTCG